GGCCATCCACACCCCATGGTTCCTTGTAGGATTCAGTGAGCTCTGCAAGGGGCTCAGCTCATGGCTGAAGCCTGAGGAATCACTTATTATGGATGGGGTGCAAAATGCCTACTAAAAGGGGGCTGGGGTTATAACTCAGTGGCAGAGCATTTGCCTAGCAAGTCTAAGGCACTGGGTTCAATTCTCGGCACCACGTATAAATAAAAATAAATTAAAGAAAGGTCCATCAACAACTAAAAACCATATATTTTTAAAAAATGCCTACTAGGACTGGGGTTGTAGCTCAATGGTAGAGCACTTGCCTAGCACGTGTGAGGCATTGGGTTCGATCCTCAGCGCCAGATAAAAATAAATAGAATAAAGGTATTGTGTCCATTTACAACTAAAAAAGAAAGAAAATTTTTAAAATGCCTACTAAAGGATATGACCCCACCCATTGTTTTCCTTCAGTTTGGGCAGCTGGCCCAGTGGCCAGTGGCTTATGATGGCAGAGGCTACACATATTTACCAAAAGTCTTAGAACTACAGGGGAGCCCTGGCCACCTGTGCTGAATGGCCTGGTCTTGCCCAACAAGTTTGGGAAGGCCGCTGTGGGGTCATTCCCTCAGGCACCATAGTCAAAGGCACAGCATCAAGCAGGCCTCAGGAGCCTGTTTCTCCTGTACACATCCTCCTGGGCTACCGTGAGGTTGAAATGAGTTGATGTGTACATGACCCAGCCCAGTGCCTGGAGCACAAGTGCTTGACAAACACAGTAGCTAGCAGGTGTACCAGCTGACCATTTTGGTCAAAGAGGCAGATACTGAACAATGGCCCCAAGGTGGACCTGAAGGGAACGCTGGAGACAGGGAGGGATGGATGACAAACACGAGGGGAAAGATGGTATGATGGTGAGCCACAGGACAAGGAAGACTAAACTGCCTGACTCCAAATCCTGGTTCTGTGGCTTTCCAGCCACATGACGCTGAGCAGGAACTTCTCTCCCTGAACCTGTGTGCCTCTCCATGGACAGAACAATATCTGCCTCACAGGCTGTGGAAGGTAGGGTAAAGCCACTGCCTGCGTCATAGGAGGAACTCTCACCAGCTATGACCAGAGGGAGCAGCAGCATTACTTCCTGGAGGACGGGAATTGAGCCAGGCTGCTGGACACGGCAGGGCTGGGACAAAGGCAAGGGGAGTGGAATGCTTCAGTACTGGGGAACGACAAAGGCCCCAAGTCTGGCACCCTGGAGACCAGGACAGCCAGAGCTAGCCATGCGCACAGGCGCCACACGAAGCACTTAATCTAAGTGCCTGTGCTCACTGAATTCCTACAGGACCTGGGTGAGTCCCCCTCCAACAGAGGTCATGGGTACCTACTACACGGAGCTATTGCATAGGGCACTGGAGCCCCTGACAAGCTATCCCAGAACAGCTGGGCTGGAGAAACTTTACTGGTAATGAGCATAGACTGCGCTCCAATTGTTCCCCGACTTCCAGCAGGGTAGGGACTCTACTCATTCCCAAATGAGGCTCAGAGGTGAAATGGCCCCAACAGGCCCAGCCCTGGGGTGGTGTTGCAAAACTGACTTATGACTACCTGTCAGTCTGAGTTTTCTTCCTTTTCTCTCTAACCACTAAAAACATCTGCTATAATAGCAGCAGAGGGAAGGAAATCAGACAAGCACTCAAGGGCAGCAGGGTGCTCAGGAAAGGGGTGATGAGAGGAGAGGCAAGAAGGCAGGGGACAAAGAAAGGCAGCCCCATCCCTCCCCGAAACCTCCTGCCCTCATAATCTACTTTAATCCATCTATTACAGTAAAACCTCCCAACCTCCTCCCAAGACACTCTTCACCTCCACCTGGTTAAAGCTGTACTTTCCACCTTCCAATATGGCAGCCACCAGCCATTTAAACTCATTAGAATTGAGTAAACTTCAGTTCCTCAATCTGCTAGCCACATTTATTTTTTTATTTAATTTTTGCAGTACTGCGGCCCAAACCCAGGGGCACTTTACCACTGAGCCACATCCCCAGCCCTTTATTAATTTTTTTTTGAGTCGGGGTCTCACTGAATTGCTAAAGCTGGCTTTAGTAGCTGGAATTATAGATATGTGCCACTACACCTAGCTTTGTTAGCCACATTTAAAGTGTTCAGTAGTCACATGTGGCTAGTGACTACTGTACTGGATAGCATAAATAGAAAACATTTCCACTATCAAAGAAAGTTTTATTGGACAGCCCTGGTCTGCAATCTTTACTACTGTCCCTTCCCTTCACTCAAAAAAATAGGGATTCTTAATCTCAGAACAAGTGGGATAAAAACAGGTGGGGGGGGGTAGGGCTGGGGATATGGCTCAAGCGGTAGCGCGCTCGCCTGGCATGTGTGTGGCCCGGGTTCGATCCTCAGCACCACATACAAACAAAGATGTTGTGTCCGCCGAAAACTAAAAAAATAAATATTAAAAAATAAAAAAAAAATAAAAAAAAAACAGGTGGGGGAAGGGCAAGTGACTCTAAGAAAACATAAAATTTAGGGCTGGGGATATAGCTCCTTTGGTAGAGTGCTTGCCCTACATGCACAAGACCCTGAGTTCAATCACCAGCACCAAAAATAAAATAAAATTTAAAGTAGATAAATCAATGAAAAGTAGAAACTTCCTTCTCACCACCCTCTCCAAAATAAACAAAGGAGAAAAGGAAAGGCAACAGAAGACTAAGCCAGGAGGAGAACAGATTTAATCAGTCACAAATGACCTTTCCCTAGTTTGCCCTCCTGTTCGCCTCCCGCCCCACTTGCTCAACCAATGGGTTCCTGGGACTGCCATCAGCTGTGGAGGATCTGATTTCTTTTAAAAAAAAAAAAGAAGAAAAAAAAAAGCCACAGAGAACAGCCATTAACAGGAGACTGTCCTACCCCCATTCCCCCACCTACTCCTGTCACCCTTCAGCATTTACCTGCATCAAATGACCTCCTTCCTGGGGACTCCTGCCTCATTCCTGACCTACTCTCTTACCCTGTTTCTCCTCCTACCAAGAGCTCCTTCCTACAGATTTCATCTTCCCTGCCTTATGAATTGGGGACAAGACTGCCAGGAACAATCTCAGAAGATCTTGAAAGATTCCTTCCAGAGCATCACCAATCCAGCCTGCACTCCCACAGAGTCACCTTCTTTGCTCTCTCAATCTCCAAGGTCAATTTCTGTCCCTTCCCTCCACCCTTACTAACAACAGTGGCCAAAATACCTACTGCCCTTATGATGTGTAGGGGCCAATTCTTAGCTCTTTATGTATCTCACAACAACCCTGGGAGGTGATCACTGTTAACATTCTACAGTAAGGAAAATTACATCAAGAGAGGTGTCAGGTTCAGGCCCGCGTCCAGGGTCACACAACTGGAAAGCGACAAGGCGAGATGCAAACCCACGTGATGTAGCGTCAGAATCTACCCACATAACCATTCCTGTCTCATCTGGAATTTTAGCTCATAAATCTTGCAGTTCACTGCTTTTCCCCCCTCTAAATACAGGCTTCCAACTACTTCTTTTTTAATATTTATTTTTTAGTTGTAGTTGGACACAATATCTTTATTTTATTTATTTATTTTTATGTGGTGCTGAAGATCGAACCCAGGGCCTCGCACGTGCTAGGCAAGCGCTCTACCACTGAGCCACAATTCCAGCCCTCCGACTACTTTTTATTGTTGTTACTTTTGTGATGGTTGGGAATCAAACCTAGGGCTTTGCACATACTAGGCAAGCTCTAGCCCCAGGACTCAACTACATCTTTTTGCAGTGTGATCTTCCCCTTAGCAGCATGTACCAAAAGCAATTCAGACCCTTTTGATAATTAACAAGGCTTTCTCAAGTGTTTTCGAGAAACGTGGGCAAAGGGCCCTGTCTGAACCTCTCTCCCGCTTTTCTCCCTTCATCAATTCAACAAACATATACTGATCATCTCCTGTGCACAATATCCACAACATATCTTAACTTTCCATCAGAGGACACAGGAATCAAACGAGTTTCTCCGTAATCGGCTTTCAAATTAGAACTGGGGAGAAAGAGCAAAGAAATGCAAAGCCCTGTAAAAGCTTGTGACAGGGATCTGAGCTCTTCTTTCTCTCTGTTTCAACAGGACTTTTTACTCAGAAGGAGTTCTCCGCCTTACTTAGTCAGTTTCATTCTCCGACTTGTGAGGGGAAAGTTCTCCTGCGACCCTTGAAGGCGCCACCCCAGTGACAGGGAAAGAGGAGGAACCCCCATCTCAATCTCCAAGGTGTCACCGGCCCTCAGGGTCCACACAGGAGCTGCCCCGCTTTTCCTTTCCTAAGGAGATGGAAGCTCTTCCTTTAAGTGTCCTCTCCAATTCTCCCACTGCTTTTCCCTCCGTGACTGGTGACTGCCCTCCTTCACACCCTGCAGAGAACCCACACTCTAAACATAGGCTTTACGCCCCCATATACCCCTTAGAAAAAACCGCCTGGGGCCTCGGTACTCACAAATCTAGCCAATCCCCGAGCCATAGGCTGCCGCAGCAACAGGAGGGTAGCCTGGCCCAGGCCTCGTCTAGGCCCCCAGACCCTAGCCACTGAGATCGCTACCGCCATCTTGGCTAACAAGCCCTTGTTGATCCGCCCCTCTCCTAGGCCAGACTCCGGGCTGCCCCACCATAAGCCTGATTCAAATGCCAGCATAACCCTGAGAAAAAGAACACCTGCTTCCGATAAACAGCATCCAGGACACATATATGGGTGGATAAGAAATACATATTCCCAAAAGTTATTTTGATCGCTTCATTTTAATTACTCCCATAACTCTCAGAGAAGAGGACAACCTGACGGGAACCTCATCGGTGTAGGGCCGGGGGACCTTGGGTAGGTTGAGCCCAAGCCAAGGCCCGCCCCCTTTTTGCTATGGTCCAATGGCTTTGCTAGAGTTAGGAGGTGGGAGTGGGCGGAGCCAGATTGTTGGTAAACGCTGAGACACGTGCTGGCGCCGATTCTGAATGGGCCCCGGACGAGCGCGTGCGCACTGGGTACGCAGTCTGTACGTACGTAAGCGCGCGGCGCGAAACGGTGCGGAAGCTACCGTGCCGGTATCGGCACGTGGGCTCCGGCGAGATGGAGGGGGCGATACAGGCTGACGCCAAGGTCTGCAGTGAGGCTGGAACAGAGTCCAGCCCTCGAGGCCCCGGCTGTAGCCTCCGGCACTTTGCTTGTGAACAGAACCTGCTGTCTCGGCCGGATGGCTCTGCTTCTTTTCTGCAAGGTAAGAATTTAAACTGGAATTGTCCGAGTCACGTATACCTAGGTCGTATTTATTTTGAAGAACGGCTGTGGTGTACTTTACAATGGAGTGCCCATCTTGCGATATTAGCTGGTTTATGCCCGCCCCCCGCACCGATGCAGAACTTCTTATCCGAGTGAATACTTGTGGATACAGCGGGATACACATTTCTCCCTCCTGATTCGAACGTTTCCTTCACCCTGTTAGGTAATTCTCAGGATGAGACAGGGGCAGACCACCCCATAAGAGCGAATATTCCAGAATAGGGAAAAACCTCAGCAAGGAAAATATTCCCCCTTGAGTAGTTTTTTTGCCCTACCTCCTACACACACATCCTGGGGACCTACATCATCTATTAAGGCAGATATGTTCATTTACGTAAATATCCCTTCAACAAGCACATCAATACCTCAGGCTCAATTATAATTACACCGCGGCGGGTTACTTTAATAACTTTAAATAAACCAAGTAAATAATTTTTCAGATTGAAGATAATGTTCCTAACCTGGGTTGACAAATACTTTCAGCACTCCCACCCCCATCAATTGAGCCATGGAAAAGAGATGGGCCCCAGGCCCTTCCAACTTTGAGCTCATGGGGTATGAGGAGCTAGCAAAGGAGATTGAGAAGGAGCTGCCAGTGAGGCAGGGGAAAACCAAAAGAGGGTGGTAACCAGAACCTAGAGAGAACAGTGTTGGAGCTGTAAGGACTGCCCAGCTCTTTCACTCTGAGAGGCTGGATCATGTTAGGGTCAATAATTTGGAGGCTATTGGTGACACTGACAAGATGCTGCAGTGGAGCCATTGGGTCAAGGTAAGGAAGAACAGGCAGCAAGTGGAGACAATACTTCAGGAGTTCTGCTGTGGCAGGATCAAGTAAATGGGATGATTGTGGGGTGGAGTGAGGGGAGACTTGTTGGAGCCACATCGTGGAGAAGATAAGAGGATAGGGCTCCAGTGCTCAGGTGTAACAGTCCATCTAGAGTAACAGGAATGAAAACCCCAACAAGGGGTTTTCTATTTGGGTAAGAATATGGCTTCAAGGCAGATTCTTCTGGAGCAAAGGTCATCATTCCCCCCTGTGAGGGTAGATTGGGTTTCTAAGGAAGAGAATCCCTCAGTTGCTTAGCCATTCCTCCCCCTCAGGCCTCCCTGTAGCACACCTCTCAGGCTGGTTTCAGATGCCTGACTTTTCTTAGAACCTAAGGAACGAGAAGCAAGGCACTGTGGCATTTACCCCTGTGGTCCCTGCTACTCTGGAGGATCATTTGAGCCCAGAAGTTCCAGACCAGCCTGAGCAACATAGTTAGACCCTGTTTTTAAAAGAGAGAAAGAAAAGCAGCCCAGCATTCTAAACCCAAACCCACAGAGCCCTAGAGCAAATGGAAATCCTTGCAGACACTCAAATGGTGTGTTTTAAGTACTTCTGGCCTCAGACTCTCTGGCAAAGTTATAAAAATGCAGATCCCCAGAACTCACCACATACCTAGTCTGGCCTTGCATTTTCCCCCCTTCAGTGCTGGGGATTGAACCCAGGAGCACTTCACTACAGAGCTGCATCTCCAGCCCTTTTTATTTTTTGTTTGCTAAGTTGCCCAGGCTGGCCTCAAATTTGGAATCCTCCTGCCTCAGCCTCCTGAGTTGGGATTACAGGCCTGTGCCACCTCACCTGGCAAAAACAAGCATTTTGTTTTTAATTCAAGTCATGCACCCTTCCACAGATTCCACCTTTCTGGTCTCCTTCCTCCGTCCCTTCCTCCTCCGGGGAGAAGTCTTTTCTGCTGTCCCTTAATAAAGCTTCCACTCTCAAAAAAAAAAAAAAAAAGTCATGCAGTGATTCTGATTGCAGGCCAATGTTTAGAAGCTGGGATAGAGCTCCTGTGGGTATTTTGTTTTGCAGTTCTGGGAATCAGACTGAGGACCTTGTGCATGTAGGGCAGATGCTGTATCACTGAACTGTACCCCAGCCCCCATAGAGCTTCATGGTTTTACACTGTAGATTGCAGGTTTGGCTGAATGTTAAAATTAGCTGGGGAACTTTGAGGTTCCCAGTGCCTGTGCCCCACCTTTGAGCAGTTAAATTAGAAGCCTTAGGAGAAGGGCCTGGGCATAGGAATCTTTTTAAACTCCCTAGTGACTCAAATATGCACCCAGGGTGAGAACTACTGCGTTATTGGGTTGCAACCAGTATTATTTTTTAAGTGGAATAGAGAAGAAACCATAGAGCACATCAAAGCAATAACGGATAGAATTGTTTTATGCTGTCTTCATTCCATTTATACACATTTGTGTGAGTTGTCAGAGAAGTTTGGAAACTATTATGTTTGAGTCCAGTCTTTCATTTTGCAAATAATAAAAAGGTCAGAGGTCTATGTGGCAGGGACTGAGTACCCAGGGACAGATTTGAGGGTAATGGGCTTAGAGGAAGAAGTCAGGAGGGAGGGAGGTGGGCATAGTGTCAGGGAAAGTAGGGAATCTTTGGGAGAAGAGATAGAAGGGGAAAGGAATTCCCTGAATATCCATTCCCTGAGATGGGCTCCTTCTTATGGAAGCCTGGTGCATTCAGCCTGCTTGCCAGTGAGGGAAAAACATCTGCAGCATCAGTTGGAACCCACAGATACCCCAGCTGGACTAAAACTCAAATACCAGGTGCAAACCATATTAAGTGTGCAGGGGCTGGGGATGTGGCTCTAGCGGTAGCGCGCACGCATGCAAGCGGCCCGGGTTCGATCCTCAGCACCACATACAAACAAAATGTTGTGTCCGCCGAATTAAGTGTGGAAATCACCTGTATATTAATGACTCCATCTTCCCGGAGAAAACCCTCTATGTCCCCATTTTGACAGAACCCAGAGACCTGTTCAGTGGTAGGGATTCTGAGGAAGAGAAGGATGGAGAGGAAGGGGTACACCTAAGTAGGATGAAGTCCCGCCACACTCAGCAGTGAGGAAGAAACGAGAGGTTTAGGGCGTGCCCGTGGTGAAGCCCTCCCCACACCTACCAGAAGCCCCCCACTCCCATCCTCAATCTTTCTGCCTCTGATTTCCTTAAGAAGCTTGATTAGCCAGGTGCATTGGTGCATGCCTGTAATCCCTTGGCTCAGGAAGCTGAGGCAGGAGGATCACAAGTTCAGAGCCAGCCTCAGTAATTTTCTGAGGCACTGAGCAACTCAGTGAGATCCTGTCTCTAATAAAATACAAAATAGGGCTGGGGATATGGCTCAGTGGTCCAGCACCCTTGAGTAAAATCTCAGGTACCTGCCCCTCCCCCACAAAGAAAAAGCAGCAGCTTGATTCACAGATGAGCCCAGAAGCTCAGAAAAGAGAAAGGCAGGGTGACGCAGATCTCCACCTGAGCTGCCTGGGATGCAGCAGTGGACAGTCCTAGGTCCTGTGCCGCTGACCCGGACCTCTCAGACCCAAACACTATGGGACCAGGAGGATGATATCTTTGAATTCTGATATCCCCAGAACTGATTGAGAGAAGCAGAATGTTGAGGAAACAAGGTGAGAGGAAGAGGAGCCTGAGGTGGGGCTCAAGGACATGGCTTCCCAGCCTGCCTCCTTCTGCTCTAGCTGTCTTCCCTAGCCTCCTTGTCCACTAAGAATTCCTCAGCTTTTTTTTTTTTTTTTTTTTTTGACAAGAGAAGGAGATGGGCCCAGTGACTTGGGAGGCTAAGGCAGGAGGATCACAAGTTTGAGGTCAGCCTCATCAACTTAGCAAGGCCCTAAGCAACTTAGACTCTGTCAGAATAAAAAGGGCTCGGGGGCTGGGGTTGTGGCTCAGTGGTTAAGCGCCTCTGGGTTCAATCCCCAGTACCAAAAAAAAAAAAAGTAGGCAATGGGGCCTAGACCACCCCCCCCCACTTCTAACTCTTTCCCACTCTTAGCTGGAAAATGGGGTTTTTAGTCCTGGGGTGAGGGAGACCTAAGAACAGTGAGCTGGTTCCTCCGCTTCCTTGCCTCCTTACCCAAGCCTCTTGTTGAGGACAGGAGAGTCATGATCTAGTGCCACCATGGAGAAAGGTGGACTGTGCAGACCCTAGTCCCACCGGGGAGGACTGGGTTCAGCCTGACTAACCAGTTCTCTGTAACTCTGAGAAGCAGCAGAAGTGTAGGGACCTGAACTGGGTTCTTCCAGTTCTTTCTAACCCGTCTGCTCAGCCTGTGGGGGTGAAGGATGGAAGAAGCATTGCCTCGGGCAGTTGTGCGAGTGGCTGCTGTACCCCGTCCCCCTGGAGCCTGCCTGTGAGCTTGTTCCTTGCCACATATTTATTTGCAGTTTGTAGCACTGATCTATAGTCCAGTTTGATTTTTGTTTCTTAAATAGAAGCAGGCAAGGAACCTCGGTGATACTGAAATATGCCTCAGCCTCATGTTCAGACAGGGTGGGGGGCGGGGGGGGGTGGGAGACAGATGGCACATAGGCCTCCTTTCCTCTGTGATGGTTCTAAGGTACAAGAAACTGCAGAGATTAAACACTGAGCTTCCCGGGTGGGGGTCAGTTGATAATATGAGCTAAAGTCTCCTGTGTGCTCCACGTGGGCCAGGCGGTGTCCTCTAAGAGTTGTGAGTGAAGTACTGTGTGTGTGTGTGTGTGTGTGTGTGTGTGTGTGTGTGTGTGTGTGAGAGAGAGAGAGAGAGAGAGAGAGAGAGATTCTGGAGAGGGAACCCAGAGCCTTGCATGTGCTAGGCAAGTAAGAGCTGTACCCCTGAGCTGCACCCCAAGCTTTGGACAGTGATTTACTCCTCACAAAAACACTGTGAGGGAGATGCTGGTGTCAACCTGTTTTATAAATGAGGAAGTGGAGGCCGAAGTGAAGTGGGTCCTTGAATTGCTGCCAACAGATGGCAGGGGCGACATGGGGAACCCCAGCCATCGCTGCAAATTGGGACCCAGAAGCAGGGAAGGTGTGACTAAAGCCTCCCTTGCTGTCTTCCCAGGTGATACCTCTGTCCTGGCGGGTGTGTATGGGCCAGCCGAGGTGAAGGTCAGCAAAGAGATCTTCAACAAGGCCACGCTCGAAGTGATCCTGAGACCAAAGATCGGGTTGCCTGGTAACTGGGCCCAGCTGAACCTCTAAAGGTCCAGTTCACTGGGACCTTAGCCGCCTCCTTCCTGCCTGTTTTCCCCAGTCTTTACCACACCCGCCGGTCGCCACGCTGCTGTTTCCGTGTCTTTCTCTACCTGCCTCTGTGTCTCAGCGTCTGTCAATTTCCCCCATCTCTTCCCTGTCTCCAGTTCTTCTTTTAACCTGTTTTTCTGCCCTTTCACCCTGTCTCCTTTCACTCCCTGTGGTCTGGCCTGGCCCCGTGGGCATGGGCATGGGCATGGACATGAGCCGCAGCACAAGACTCCGCTGTATTCCTTCCTTGGGTGCTGATGGTAGCCAGGGGGGTGGGTGGCAGTCGGCCCGCACTCTTCCCACTGCTAATCCTGTCGTCCACGCAGGTTCCTGTGCCATCCCACGACGAACCTGCAGACCCCTTTCACAGGGCTTTCCTCCAGGTCGTGGGGCAAGTGGAAGGGGAACCAGGTAGAAGGGAGGAGCCTGACAACCTCCCCTCAATTTCCCTAGGTGTAGCAGAGAAGAGCCGGGAGCGGTTGATCAGGAACACATGCGAGGCGGTGGTGCTAGGAGCACTGCATCCACGCACCTCCATCACGGTGGTGCTCCAGGTAGTCAGCGATGCAGGCTCCGTATCCTTCCCCTGTCCACCCTCTGAGAGGAAGTACTCCAGAATCTCTTCTGGTGGCTTTGTAACACCAGACACTTGGCAGGCACCAGCTGGTAAAGAAGGAGACAGACACACCTTAAGCGCTTGCTGTGTGCCAGGCACTGTTCTGAGCACCTTATATACTTAAACTCATCGAATCCTCAGCACACAAATCAAATGCTTTCATGTTCCTTGTGTAAGTGGCTCGTCCAGGACTTGGGCCCAAGGACTTTGACAGATGTTTCAGATGAGGAAACTTAGGCTCAGAGAAGGGAAGTGCCTTGCCTAAGGACACAGGTGGACAGCAGCAGAGGCAGGACTCGCCTAAGCCTGCCTGACCTCCAAGTCTGTGCCAGTGATCACCAGCCTGCCCCTTAATGTGGGTCCAGTTTGTTGACACTCGGGGAACCCTGAGCAGGCAGGGCAGAGGGATCAGAACCTCTGCCTTTGAAAGATTCCTGTGCTTTAGGCAAGTGAGGTTGAGGATGAAGGCCAGAAATGGGCATTTCTAGAGGGCATTGCTGGTGTGTGGCCCGTTTAGGCGGGTACTGTGTGGATGGAAGGAGGGAAAACCTGTTAAGAACTCATTTAAAGAGGTGAAAACTAAAGCCCAGGGGAAGTGACTGTTAGTGGTAGAGCTAGAACTGATTGATTATAAAGCTGAAGCCGTTCTCCGCTCTGCTAAGCCTAGGGATGAAAAACAGGAAACTGAGGCAGCTCCAGCCTGTGACGGCTCCTCCCTCCACCCTGACTCCATCACCTGGTGTCAAGGATGACTACAGATTCCTCAGTGTTGGGCCTGGCTTTGCCAGTGCCTGTCCCATGTCACCTTGGGAGGTTTCTCCCCTCTGACCCTGTTTCCCTGAAGATACTTGCTGTGTGCTTTTAGCATGCGTTTGTTAATATCATCAGGGTTCCCATGTAGAGATGAGGTTGAGACTCCGTAAGTCAGTTGATCGAGATCACAGCTGAAAGATAGCAAAGCCAGGTGTGAAACAGGGCTTACTTGATCCCAGAGCTGCTTCTCCCCCACCATGCTGCCTTTCTGGGATCTGCTAGTGAGGTCTGCCATGGGCATTAGCAGGTACAGGTTGCCGTGATCCTTCAGCTACCAGCTCTCCAGTAGGTGTTCTTCTTAACTGTTCCCGTTGGGCTCAGCTCCTGGCCTGTTGCCTGAATGCTGCCTGCATGGCATTGGTGGATGCAGGTGTGCCCATGCGAGCCCTGTTCTGCGGGGTCACCTGTGCCCTGGACTCTGATGGGATCCTGGTGCTGGACCCCACAGCCAAGCAAGAAAAGGTAGGTATGAAGGGCTATGGCTGGGTGGCTCTCGGCCTTCCTCCAGGACTCACTGTCTCCAAGTCAGTTGGCGCACGCACCTCAGCCCCAGTTGGCAGGCCCTGCTCTGTTCGTCAGGATTCATTCAGCTGCAAGTGCTAGAACCCAACTCAAGACATGCACAAGCCAAACAAGAATGTGTTGGCTTTTGTTTCCAAACCCTGAAAGAACAGAGGTCTAGTTAAAACCAGAACTTCAAACAGATTTCCTTACTTCATTTCTCATCCCTGCTTTTTTTCTGTATATTGGCTTCATTCTCTCTGGCCAGCATCTTTCCTGAGGCCGAGGTAGCCTCTGTCAGCTCCATCCTTTCATATTAAGAGGATGGAGGACAGGTTAGAGATGTACGTACCTCAGTGATAAAGCGCTTGCCTGGCCTGTGCAATCCCAGTACCAAAAAAAGAAAATCCAAAGGCTAGAAAGCTTTCTTTACCCACTCAGGCTTGCAGTGCCCTAAGGTCCTTGTTCTTTGGGGTTTTCTCATGGTCTTAGCCAGTCAGGAAAACCACACAACACTCGGGGTACTTAGGATGGAGGTATTTAATATAGGGATGGGTAAGGACAATGTTGGAAGAGTCTTGAGAGGCAAAGGGGAATGCTGCAGTACTATTGGAGACATTGTCGCAGTTGGTTCTTGATGCTCAAAAGATGTCCTGCCTCAATCCTGGATGCTGAAGTGCAGAACCCGTCACCTCTGTGGCTATTACAGCAGCTGCTACTGTCAGAATGAGGACTGAGATGCTCTTCCCCATTTCCCAAGAGATTTTCTTTACTGGTTGAACTAACAGCGAGAGAGTCTAAAGAATATGAGCCACTGGTCTCCAGCCCTTGCAGAGCATGGAGCCTAGAAAGGGGGTTGGCTGCTGGAAAGGAGCCCGGTAAATGACTAGCATTGGCTCCTCTAAGTGGCAGGTGTGGCAGCTGGTTGGAATCAGAAGCATGGGGGCCAGTTCTACAAAGGAGATAACTGTTACCCAGGATCAGAGTAATATTTAGACAAAACAGCTGCACTTGAGATGTGGGAAAGCAGGGCTTCGAGGACTTCAGCTACCTTCTACCTCTTGTCCCTAGGAGGCGCGAGCAGTCCTGACCTTTGCTCTAGACAGTGTGGAACGGAAGCTACTGATGTCCACCACCAAGGGGCTCTACTCTGATGCCGAGGTACCAGCATGGGGTGGGGTGAAAGCCGGTGGGGGGGGTAGGGGCTTCAATACTTATAACCATGGAAACCTTGGTGGAAATTTGGAGGGAAGCCCAATTTGTGAGATAGGAAAAAAGGTGGAACATGGTTTAAAAGTGGGAGGCAGAGCTTCTGAGGGCCCTCAGCTTCAAGCTCAGAGGGTAGGGTCTCTAAGGTACTGAACTTGGAACTATGGGGCAAGATGGTTGCATTTCCAACCTGGCCCTTCCTACAAACCTAGGAACATGTGGCAGTAAAGATTGGAGGTCTCTTGACACCCTGGCTCCAAATCCCAAGGTCTGACCAGCTCATTGAGCTCTGAGGAGCCGTGGCTCCGCAAGGTTGGGGTAGCTTCCAGGGTGTCTGAATGCTGCTCCCATTGGTCTCAGGTCTGGTTGCTGCCAGCCTCAGATCCCTGAAGCTTCTTCCTCCTGCTCCCCACTAAGAAAGCTTATAAAGTGGGAGATAAGTCACTAGAGATAATCCCCTCCCCACCTGCCTTGCCTGGGGTGGGAAGGGGAGTGGTCGGCTGGGGGGTGGGGCTTGGAGTCAGTGGAGTCCAGGAACCTCTTGGGCCTGCTGGGCTGCAGATGGGTGTGGGGCGAGGCCCTGGCACTGACTCGCCTCTCCTGCCAGCTCCAGCAGTGCCTGGCTGCCGCCCAGGCCGCCTCACAGCACGTCTTCCGCTTCTACCGGGAATCGCTGCAGAGGCGCTACTCCAAGAGCTGAGGCCAGCCCCACAGGGCGCCCTTCCCACCGCCACCATCTTTAGGCTGGAGAAAGCCAGTGCCCAGCCTCCCCTCTCTGTCCAGGGTGCCTGTGTGGCCTTCAGCACCACAGCTGCAGGGCTTCTATTGAGGTGGGAGGGGCTTGGCCCCTGACAGTCGGCCTAGGTTATAGACCCCTCCTCCCAAGGACAGCATTAAAAGGAGTCCCCCGTGTTGATGAATGTGTCGGTATGCACTCAGTGTCCAGCTGAACACCTACTGCATCAAGCCCTGCTGGGTGCTGAGAACCTGGCAGTGAACCACAGACCCTGGGCTTGTGTTCTAGAAGCAGTGGGGTGAGGAAACAAAAAAATTGCTGGTAAATGTGACAAAAACAAGAAATAAGGAATGAGACTGGGAGAGTCATTTGGGGAGAGGCAGATGTAATACATGAATGGAGACACCAAGCAGGGGAGCCTTGCAGGAGGAAAGGGAACAAGTTCTTGTGTAACAGGAGAGAGTGCCCCAAGGACCAGCCAGGCAGCCAGTGTGGTGAGTGGAATGAGAAGGGCAGGAAAGGGAGACAACATGAACCAGGGACCCTGTGGGACCTTGTGAGCCACAGGAGGAATCTGGCCGAGTGCTGCTTTAACCCACCAGCAACCCCATGAGGTGGGGCTCATTTGAAGATGAGGAAATAAGCTCAGAAGCCAGTTAGCTGCCGAGGTCACCAGCTAGTTAGCAGAGGAACAAGCATCCCCCCACCCCAGTCCAGTCTCAGAGCCCTTCCTGTTTAGATAAAACCCAGGGACCCCAGGAAGATCTGCAGGCTGGGTATCACTCCTCTGTAAATAGCAGTTGAGGCTCACGATGCCCAGTCGGGTGGTGGCACCCAAGAGTTTTGGAGGTCATGGGCATCCTTGCCTTTTGACTGCTCCCCAGCAGTATTTAGTGTTTGCGGGGAGCTTAAGAGCAACTAGACCCCATGGGCTGGGTCTGCAAACCCCTGGGGTAGGGGGTTTCGTGAGTCTTGACCCTCTACTATTTGCTTCACATGCTTGAGTTAGCTCACAGAATCCCCACTTGTCCCCCTGGAGCGTCTTCATCCTCCTGTAACCAGGAAGGAAATGCACAGATATCTTTAGCTTGAAATTGTGCTCTGTTAGATGCTCTGGGAAAGCTGTTTTCTAGCAAAATCCATCAATGGCATTAAACAGTGAGAAGACTTAAGCGGCAGGGTTTTTTTATTACTTGATGCCAGTTCCAATTGGTGCGCGCTCCCTTTGCTTCTGCTAAGCTCTGTGCAAACAGCTGTCCTGCTTGCCTGGTGCCAGCACTTTCATGTTTTTCTTAGAGTCCTTTTTTTTTGTGTGTGTGTGTGTATGTGTGTGGTACCAGGGATTGAGCTCAGGGGTGCTTAACCACTGAGCCACATCCCCAGCCCTTTTTTGTGTTTAATACTTAGAGACAGGGTCTTGCTAAGTTGCTGAGCCTGGCTTTGAGCTCATGATCCTCCTGCCTTAGTTTCCTGAGCTGCTTGGATTACAGGTGTGCACCTTTACACCTGGCTAGAGTCCCATCCTTCCCAAGCCTAGTCCCTTTGATTTGGAAGGACCTGGGAAAGGAGTCTTGAGCTACTAGGGAAGTTTTCTCTCCCCGTGGTGGGGGCTGGCATAGAATGAAGTGGATGAGGAACATCGAGAGTGCAGATACCAGACCCTTAATTGAGCCCAGGACCAGTTATACCTCAGCGTTCTCACTTCTGTTGCCTAGGCAGGCTGTGCTGATTCTGCCACTCAGGTGTCGGAAGAGTGCAGAGGGAGAGAGCAGGTGGCCATTTCTATGAGGGATGTATGTAAGCTTGATGTATAGAGAAAATCATTTTACAGATGAGAGGAAGTGAGGCTGGAAGAGATGTCCCTTGGGCCGAGTTGCATGGCTGCCGGGTGGGGAACTGAGGACTTGGGACCTGGCTCAATCCTCTACTAACCACTGAACATACTACAGTGTGAGGACCCTGCACCCCTATGTCACCTGCCTGGTCCTTACACCACCACCGTGTCCACCTCCCCGTACACATGACAGACTCAAGTTTGGCTGCAAGGGTGTCTTGTTTAATTTCTCATGTTGCTGCTGCCTGGTGAGAGGCGGCCAGGAAGGGGAGAGGGTCTCCAGCTCACTCCCCTTTCTGGATGCTGCTGCCTCCGCTTTCAGCACCAGGAATCTCCGTGTCCTGCCCACAGATGCACTGGGCCACCAGCCTCTGGGGTCACAGTGGGGGAACTAGGGTGGGGCTCGAGAGGCAAGATAGGCAGCCAGTGTCACCAGCGCAGCTGCATATGTGCACAGGCCCAGTCCGATGGCGAGGACCCCCAGCAGGAAGGCGCGGCGGGAGGCAGCCCCTGCTCCCTGGACGTCCCCCTCGGCCCAAGCCTTGTTGGTCTGTAGAGGCAGTGGCCACTGTGATAAAGGTGTCCCTCATCCCCACTCTGCTTCCCACAGCTCTTCCTCCACCCAGTAAACCAATTCATGCATTCCAATGCCTCCAAGCACCTACTGTGAATCAGGCACAGCGGGTCAATGGGAACACTGCGTGACTGATAAAGTATGTTACTATATGTCTTGATTCTCACAGTGACCCCAAGGCAGGAATTATTCCCATTTTATAGAGAAAAACAAGAAGGCACAGGGGAGTTCAGTGGTGTGCCCCAGAAGGCAGGCTCAGGGGATCCTTCTCCCATCTCCCCGCTGCCTTCGGCCATGGCTTCTCTTGTTTACACGATGTAAATGTTCCCTTAAGCCCAGTACCCTCCCTGTCCCACACAGACTGACCTTCTGGGCCAGACAGAAGGAAGCGATGCCCAGGGGCCAGAAACAGCACAGCATGGAGAAGACTGCCAGGCCGAGGTGGTCAGCGGGCAGAAGGGGGGAGAGGGGGCTGCCCACGTCCCAGTCTGAGTCGCTGTCACTGGATGACGTATCCTGTGGAAGGAGAAAGCCTTGGGTGGGCATCTCCACCCACCTTCCCTGCCCACTGCTCTGCCCTGAGGCACCACTGAAGACTCCTGTAGTACCTCCCCAGAGGCGTGAAAATTGCTCACAGAGGTGGGCTCTGGGCTCCTCTGTCCTGGATCCCTTAGAGGAGAAGCTGTGGGTCCTGTTCAGAAAGAGCCCCACCTGCACATCATTTTCTGGAGATTGACGGGTCCAGTCATGGGTCATAAACAGAATGCTACAGCCTCTGAGTTAAAAGTGCCTGAAGTGAAGACAGACATCAGGAATTTGCAAAAAGATGGGAAGTTATAAAATGTTCCAGTGTCCTAAATAATTAGGACACTGCCTGCTGAAAACTTCAGTTTCTAGATGGAAAGTATATTATAGGAAGAATCTTACAAATAGCCAGGTGTAGTGGCACACACCTGTAATCTCAGCTCTTCAGGAAGTTGAGACAGGAGGATCACAAGTTCAGAGTCAGCCTGGGCAACTTAGTGAGGTTCCATCAATAAAAATCTGGGAATGTAGCTCAGCAGCAGAGCAGGTGTGGAGCATGCACAAGGCCTACACCATCAAATCAAAAACTGAAGCAGCAGATAGCTCACAAGATTTAAGGAATTAAGGACAAAACTTAATCAAGGTTAATTTGGTTACACAAACACAGGAGGCCCCTCTTGCCCTGCAGATAAATTTGCCACTCAGAAAATTCAAACCTTGAACTAATAAGATTACAAATGGTCTCTGCATCAGTGCATCCAGGCAACTGAATACCACTCCATGTGCTTTCTGGAAGAAGATGCCTTCTAGGCCTAAAAATAAGTTTTCGTAAACAGGGTGCAGTGGTGCACACCTGCTATCCCAGCAGCTGGGAAGTCTGAGGCAGGATCGTGAATTCAAAACCAGCCTCTGCAACTTAGCAAGGCCCTGACTCAAAAAGAGCTGGGGATAGGCTCGGTGGTAAAGCACCCCTGGGTTAAATTCCCACAACCAAAAAATAATAATAATACTTGTTCCTAAAAATGATTTTTCAAAGACAATGACAAGCATAGAGCTGCAGATAATAGAATGTGAACTAGCAAAATTGATAAGGTGTTCAAAATCTTCAGCTAAAGTGATGCTATATGTGGCAGGTGGCATTTTCCAAAAATGGTCACAACAATCTTCCATTCCATGTCTTTCCCCCAACCCAGTACTGGGGATTGAAGCCCAGGAGCACACTACCATGAAAAAAATTGAGTCACTCCCTGCCCCAGCCTATTTATTTGTTTGTTTATTTTGAGGGGGGGGGTCTAAGTTGCTTAGGCCTCACTACATAACAGGCTGGCCTGGAACCTGCAATCCTCCTGCCTCAGCCTCCTGATTCACTGGATTACAGGCTTACACCACCATGCTCACCTCATCTGCTCTTCTTAAAGTGTGACTTCAGTATTCCTCCCATCAAGGAATGAGGTCTGGGTCCCCTCCACCATGAACCTAGGCAGGTTCACGACTTACTTGTCATCAAAAGAATGTGGTAAAGTAATGCTACACGACTTCCTCGGCTGAGTTAGATGGGAAAAGATGGGGCAGCTGCTGCTTTGCTGAAACACGCCCTCTGGAGGCTGGAGGTCTGATGGCCCCAAAGCTGCCGGAGACAATGCACGGAATACCCCGAGACCACAGGAAGGGACAGGTCCCGGCTAGCGCCAGGTCTAGCTCCAGCCACTGGCTGCAAGCTCATGGAAGACCCCAAGGCAGAGCCTCCACCTGAGTCCTTCCCAGGTTCCTGAGCCCAGCAACCATGAACAGATGAGGATTTATAGTGATAGATGGTTTACATTTTGGGTAATTTCTTAGATTAATTGGAAAACCATTAAAAAATAAAGAACAAGTTTGACAGTATGTACAGCAGTGAGAAATAGTAAAAAAGTAACATGAATTTGACAAAAGGGTCACACAGTCCAGAGGTATATATATGGGTTTTGAAGAGAGAGGCAGAGTTGCACATGCCTTTAATCCCAGAGACTCTGGAGGCTGAGGCAGGCGGAGCACAAGTTTGAGGTCAGCCTCAGCCATACAACAAGACCCCAAGCAGCTTAGTGAGACCCTGTCTCAAAAAAATAAAAAGGGCTGGGGATGTGGCTCAGTTGTCAAGCACCCTTGGGTTCAATCCCCAGTTCTCTACCCCAACCCCCCAAAAAGAGAAGCAGCTAGAGCACAGAGGAGACAGAAATCAGAAGGAAAACAAAAAGGCAAAGACCAGGG